ACTCTGCATCTTTAACCTGAATTGTAACAGGAGGCCAAGGGGCAGAAGTCCTTTGGCACTCCCAAGTGTCCTGGGGCAGCGACCACCAGCAATGTAGTGTTGGAGCCCAGTGTCTGGAAAGTTCTCCTGATCGCCAAACATGTAAAACTATAAATGGGGGAATTCAGTTCCCACTAATACACAGTAAAAACAGCCATGAAACAGAACCTCTCTTCTGCCAGGAATCTACTCAGTAACGCAGTGTTTGCAATCATAAATGCTCCATCCATTTTCTGTTTCTTTTTTGAGAATCATGCAAAATCAACTTTATTGGAATTTCTGTGTTTGTAGCTCTCAAAAATATTTTCAAATCAAATCAAAAGCTGTAAACTGAAGGAATAAATAGGCTCTTAGAGTTCTGGTAATCCAATTAATGAAGAGCTTTAATATTTAAATTTCTTGTTGATTTGGCACAAAGTATTAGTATCAGTGAAGAAAAAGTGAATCTCCTACCATGCCACTGAAGATCAGGGACAATACTCAAATCATTCAAAGTACACTAGATAGTGGTCACTGCACAAATAATCTTGAAAAGCCCTGAAATTTTACAGTTTCTATGTAAAAACACTTTGATGGAGATTTTTTTCTAAATCAGAAAACAATGCTAAAAATTTACATAAGCTGTAAAATTTCTCCTAAACTTTCGATAAAAAATTAATTTTGATACACCATGCTATTCTCTCTACAGAAATGTTATTGCCAAATTACTGTCAGATGAAGAAGAGATCAAAAGCACTCAGCCAAACCTGGGGGGAAAATATTATAAAGGACTGCCAGGGAGTTAATAGAATATTATATTACTTTTACGGATTTTATAATGTTTATAGTATTTGTTAGCTCTTTAAAATTTATAAATTGTTGTGCTTTGTATTGTCATTTAAAATTCTTACTTTTGTTTCCAATTTTGTATTTTTTTCTTCTTAAAAAGAACCCACAAAACTGAATAGCTTCAAGCCTACCAAAATCAGATCTTTCCCTGACAGAACACTCATCTTCCTCAATCCCTTGCCTCTGGGTCTTAACCTCTAACCCTGGATTAACCCCACCTAATAAATGTAGAAGGAATGATAGATTTAGAAAATCATTCTTCATAGCTCCCCCTGGGATATACTGAAAAGGTAGAAGGTTATTAACAAGCTATCTGCATGATGTCCAATTATCACCCCACAGATTACTTTCCAAATTGCAAAGGGATAGTTGTATCCTCACAACGGAGACTATCCTAATTGATCAAACTTAGAATTCCTAACAGAGGGACAATCAGGCATTATGTCCTTCCTGTCATGATGCAATATGGTATTGGGTAGCCTTATGGCATCACCCCTATGAAGTATTCTTGCCAACAACCCAGTTTAATCTGAATGTAAGTAAACCTTTGTAGGAGTTAAGTAACCCTACAAGTAAACAAGAAATCTAGAAGTTGGAACATTCTACAAAATCTAGTCTCTTCACAACTTTTCCATGAGTTATTTCTCAATGTCATTGGAAAATAAAAAGGTAGAAGGACTGCCTTAGAGTAAAAGGGAACAAAAAAATATAATCAAATGTGTAAACTTTAACCATACCCTAGTCCTCTTACATCTTTACCCCCCCCCAAAAAAAGCACAGTTACAAAAGACATTTGAAAAATGGGGAATTTTAAATCTAAACTATTACTAAACAACACTGGGGGAACTCCTGTTAATTTTCTTCAATATGACAACAGCAATGTGTTCATATAAAGCAATACATTTTTAGGAGACACACGCTGGAAGTTCTTAGGGGTGAAGTCAGCCTGATGTTTGCAACTTACTTTCAAATGGTTTAGCAACTTTTCTTTACGTTTGAAAATTCTTACAATTAAAAAACTGAAATAAGTAAAAAATGTATTAAATCTATTTTCTTCTCACTTGGTCAACCTAACCAAGAAGATAGAGTCAGAGTAATCCCTCCCATCAAACATTAGCAGTGAAGCAGTACCGAAGCCCAGGGGCTAATGTTTTCAGAACAGCCGTATTATATGAAAGAATCTCCTAGGGTCCAAATGCAGCCAAGGCCTGCTTAACTTGTGTTTACGAGTAGCCCAAGGGAATTTTTAGACTGCTAACTGCCATTCTGGGCGGAAAAGTCAAGCAGGAACAAGGGGGCAGGGGAGAGACAGAATTGAAGCAGACAAAATTGTTTGACTTACTTTATTGATTTTAGGAATGAAAAGAAGTGGGATTCATTTCAGGGACACTACACACTCCCAGTGACTTATCTCATAATAAAGATGATGAGTGAAGTACTTTATAACTTATAAACACCTTCACTGAGACCGCCTTTTGGACTCCTTAAATCAGACGTAGGAAGTAGGGAAAGCAAGTAATATTCCCAATGGGCAGAGGAGGAAAATAAGGCTCAGAGAGGCTGCAGGAGTCCCCCAAGGTCCCAAGGCTAGCAGGCGGGCCCATTATCTTTCACAGGTGACCACTGTCCTGTAGCACGGTCACTGAGGGGTTGGTTGTCTCATGGTGGGCAACACCCATTTCTCTGAGCTTCAGTTTGGGACTAAATAGCCTTGGGTTCATATGAGAAACTGCAGAGGTTGGAGGCAACACTTGGCATCAGACCCCCTTTCTTCCATCAACAGGAGGGGGAGGAGGTGGGAAGGACCAAGAGCCTCCTGAAGGGGCCTGCACACTTCCCTGCTGGGCCGCCTCAGGGGCAGGGACACTTCTTCAAACACAGTCCCCTCCCCAGCAGGGTCTAAGGACACGCCAGGGAATGAAAGGACCATGTGAGGCACAGCAATCACTGAAAACAAGGTACAAACAAGGGCTGTGAAAAGCGAAAGCACCATATATGAGTGTGATTCCTTCACTCTGCTGGTCAAGTCCAGCCCCTCACAGTGCCTAACGGCCAGCTGTTTGGAGTGGCTTGCCTCCATAAGACGCTGTAACTGGGGGAAATTACTAATTCCGTGGCTTTCATAAGACACAGAGGTCCACCAAATGTTTGCTTGGCAGGTTTTTTTTTTCTCCCCAGAGGGCAGCTCATTAAGCCTGACAATAAAGCGGGCTTTGTTCTAAAGATTTACAGTGTTTTCCCAGTGCAAATTCTAATTGACAACCAGCAGGAGAACAACAATGCAGGGCAGAGAGCCCCGGTCTCTCCCATTCTTCCAAGATCCATCTCAAAGAAGCACTCACTTCTTAGTTTCTTGGACCAGTGTTTAGCTTGGTCTTTATGTAGATGCAGGCAGAAGCAGATGCTTGGGTATCAGAAGTTTATCATTCAAAGTAGTCAAATCTTAAAACACCAAAAAAGATTTATTCTTTCAAACTTCAAAGATAAGAAATTCCATGTAATTCCCAGGCTCAGGATATCAGGTCCCTCCATGCAGAATAAGCATATTACATAAAAATGCAACCATGCCTTTTCCAGGGGAAGGGGGGGGAAACCCTAAAAAAAATAAAGTGCATGATGATTGAGAGTCTTCAGAAATGGTTGCATGAGAATATTAAAGGCACAGCTATTCAAACGGACTCATCGTGGAATAAAAGTTCAAGTATCAGAGGGAGTGATTTCAATATGAATGTTGGGTGTTGCGGTCACAAACAAGAGTCTCGCATCTACACAGAGAACCAAGTCACGTCAAGCAAGTCAGGGAACTGTGAGTGACAAGGTATAGAGAGGCCTGTTCAGACAAGGGACAGACATTACTGGGCCCTTTTTCAAAGAAAACTTTGAAGATTTTGTTAGGCTTTCTCCGTGGAACTGTCACAAGGTAACAATACAGTTGCAAATGAGTGGTGCTCAGTAGTCACATCCCTGCCTTTTGCAGACCAGCTGCCAATGGCTGCCCATGATGGGAAGTCAGCATTAGAGAAGGGACTCTCTCTGGAGGTTATTGGGCTGAGGCACGGCGCAAAGAGAAAATTCTCAAATAGAGCCCAACACCCAACACACGCACATGAACCAAAAGCAAAATAAAACTGCTGTCTGAAAAGTGGCCAAACAAAACATAACAAAACAAAACACACCTCCTTACTTCTTCCTGAATCTTCCTGAATTTCCCCCTTCTCCAAAGAGTATCTAGTCCTTATAGTAAAAATAAACAAAAAACCATGTGCTTCCAGTAGCCTATACAGACTAAGAGAAGGGAAACTGATGGGAGGTGGGAGAAAAGCACAATTCACACTCCTTTTTCTAAACAAAAGCAGAGAAAGGAACCAAAGTGGGAAAGCATAGCACCCCAGCCAGGAGCACCAGACCAGGAGTCAGGAGGTCTGCATCCTTACTATGCCAGTGTCTACCAGGAGCTGTTTTGAAAAGTACCTTAACCTCACGACTTTTCTTGTCCTCATCTGAAAAGGAAGGGATTCACCTAAATCAGTGGTTCTCCCACTGTACTGCTTGGATCCCTGGGGTTGCCTCTAAGGCAACCCCAGCAACACAGGGGGTAAGGCAAAGGGAATGGAGCCCCATGCTTGTTCTCAACCTTAAAGAGTTCATCACTGATCCATTTTACATACTGAGGTTGTGAGTCAAGTCTTTTGTTTAAAGAGTTCTATCACCAAGACACCCCACAACTGAGATGGCTTAAAAGCACTGGACCAACATGTCTTGTGATTTTTTATCTTTATGATTATGTGGTTTCTATGTGCCTCTCTGCATTACTTTATTAGAATTCATGAATAGGTAGTCTCATTGATACAGATCCTCCAATCTGTATATTGGGTTCTCTTATTCCTAAAGGGTGAGGACACTGAACCTCAGATAAGGCACAGTGACCAAAATCACAGGGCTCAGTAGTTGACAGGATTCAAACTCAGGAATGACATTAAAACGAGTAAGCTCAGTGCCATCCTTAAAGAATAAACTTCACTGCAAAAAAAAAAAAAACAAACCAAACCAACTGGTTACCTCATTATTATTGCAATTCTTTCTCCATGGAACATCAGGTTCTTCATTTGTATTCTCTGGGAGTAAACACTTACCCTGGTGAGATGAAATGAATAGCCACAAGTTCTGCCCAACAAGCAAATCTGTTGGGTACAGGAAAGCCCAAAATGTTGGCAAAGCCTCCAGGGCAATAATGGTTGTTAAGAACTTTCAAAGCAAACAAAACTCCTAGAAGAAAATAAAGAGCATACAGATATCAACAATCCAAATGTGAAGATAATCCAAACTTAACAAAGAAAACTAACTGAAAGTGAAAATGATTATTTGACTATATACCACTTCTTGTTTTGAAACACTCTCTTCTTTACAAGTCAACCCGGCTTTTGGTAAAAAGACAAATATGTTCAAGGTAATCGTTCTTTTGATGTTTCTTAACACAGAAGTTCATACTGACTTTCAGTATGCTAGAAAATATACAACACGTAAAATGGGAATAAAACACCTGAAATGGTACTAAATGCCATTTAACTGTTCATATCAGCATCGTTAACTTTTTGCTATGTGATTTTGTTTTTAAAGATTTTATTTATTTATTTGACAGAGAGAGAGACACAGTGAGAGAGGGAACACAAGCAGGGGGAGTGGGAGAGGGAGAAGCAGGCTTCCCGCCGAGCAGGGAGCCCGATGTGAGGCTCGATCCCAGGACCCTGGGCTCACGACCTGAGCTGAAGGCAGACGCTTAACGACTGAGCCACCCAGGTGCCCCTATGCATTGTGATTTTTAACTCCATGAAAAAAAATAGCAGTAATGTGTATTTTTCTAACCTCTATGCAAAGACATGTTGAGGGCAGGGCATGTTTCCTTTCTTCTCCCACAACTGGCTGCATGAGGATGTATCTTAAAGGGAAAGGGGCCAGATGGCAGGGAAAGTAGAGGGAAGAGTTAGATTTCCTTCTGTTCCAGCGCTATTTCCCTCCTGCCCTTCACATTCTAACTCTTGGACTACTTCATTTTGGCCCTGATGGCCATTTCCGTCCTCCGAGATACAGGCAGAGTGACTATCACGGTCCCTGGAAACATAGTGAGCATGCCATGGTAAGGTGCCATACATGTATTTTAATGCAGTTACTGAGAGGCATACTCATCGTTTTAGAGAATTCCTTATCACAGATACACCAGCAGGTCTTTCCAACATGAAGGAGCCAGTGTATATTTCTAGAACTCTATCTCCTCCAAAACTACCTTGGAGTAGACCCTGGTCCAAACTGTCCAAGAGTGAATGATGCGGCGTTAAAATAGAATAGCAAGATCTATGTCCCTCCTCTGCTCCAATCATCCTTTTCTCCAAAATCCAAGCCCCAGGGATCCTTAGCCACTCAGAATTCAGTCCGCTACCCAAACAGGGACCCGTTTCATAAAATGACAACAGTCACACCTCCCTTACTGTCTTCGTGCATGCTCCCTTAGAAATGTGTCTGCCTTACCTGAGAAACCTACAGCACAGTTCCTTCTGAAGCCAGGTTCATTCATGAATTCTGCAAGAGCAAATTCCAAGAACAGGTACACCACTCCAGTGAGTAGGGAGAATGTGACGATGACGTAGGCAAACCATCTACTTCCTAGTCTTCTTTCTAGATTTATTCCTTTCCACAGCATGGATGCCATGTTGAAATACAAATGCCAGTCATCTGCATGGTGAAGGGGAGAAAGCAGTAAGCGCTGCCAGTCTTTTTGCTGGTAACACTTCTCCACGCTAAGGCAGGACTCAAACAGTGGTTTCAGAGGATTCAAAAAGAACCAGATGTTGAGAATCAAAATTGCTAGGGTGACAGGTGGAATATTGCTGATCCCAACATGGAAGATTTGAGAGAGTAGCAGAATTAGTCCAGTGTTAATTCCCCTTGATCTCCGCTGCATGGTTAGGTTATCAACCCAGTGCCGGGTAAATGTGGTCAGGTTTTAGGAATCGGGAAAAATATATAGGCAGCTGAACCTAAAACATAAAATGCATATGGAAATCTATCAATGAAGACTTAATACACCAATAAGGCATACTCATTTAAATATGAGCTTACATTATATATATATACCACCTCCCATCTGACAGAAACATTTTTTTTTCAGCATCTTCCAGAGTAACATCAGGATGCTGGCTGTCATCCTTCCTCATTTTACATTCTACAATAGGAATTTTCTCCCAAATCCCAATGGACCAGTTAATGGATGGGTATGCTTTCTCTGACAAATACGCCATGAAAAAGACTGTCTTCCTTATAAATAAGCTTGTAACCTCATAAAAACCCTACAAAGATAGTGTGTAAATATTTAATAATGATTTCTACTCCAGATACTGAACAGTATTCTTTACTCCCTTAATTTTTTTTAAAGAAATATTCAATTTTGACATATTCAATACAGTCTGCCCCAAAGTTTTTAAACTTCCACAGGCAGGTTTTAAAGTGTAAGCATTTACTATCTTCTACTCTGTATCGCCAGTTATCAACTGCTAGGATGCTTTATATCATCACAAAAGTGAGTTCGGCAGAGCCCAGCCTAATTTGCTGACCCACAGAACAGTGAGCTAAATAAGTCAGTCTGTAGCTTCTCCAAGTGTTAGAGTGCTACGTTATGCAGCAATTACTAACCAATACAGAAGGTATTTGCTTTGGTGGGGGCCTCGGTTATGCTTATGAGAAGAAGCTGGCAAAGAAAGAGACACAAACTAAAGATGCAAAAGATACACAAAAAGAATCAAGTCCTTAGAGGGAACCAGCCTTGTCCATAGTAACAGGAAGGAAGAAGAAAAATGTCAGTTGCAGATATGGGTCAAGAGGCAGATTAGGGCCAGGATGCTGGAAAAAGTTCTCATCTAGTGGCTTTTATTGTGGAGCTTCTTAGGCTCCCAACCAAATATGTGACTTACTCTGATCCCCTAAAGATTCTCATTCAGACAGGACACTGGAAGGTATGTGAGCTTTGGGACAAAAATGGGTACAGTTCTACTTAGAAGCTCTGAGACCTAGGGCAAATTACTTAAACTCTCTGAACTTCACTTTCTTCACTTTAAATTAGAAATGATAATACCTCCTTCCCAGGATTACTGTAACACGTCTGGAACGAAGCAGATGCTAAATATACAGTGGCTACACTTTTCAATACTCTAAGGTAATCTCACCTATGTGAAAAGCTTTGCAAATGGTAGCATCCTAATAAGGCTCAAAGGTTCACCCTACCCTCTTCCCATATGCATTCTAAGAAATGACCAAGAAAAAATTACACATTAATGTATGTATGTGTTTGTGTACACCCCCGTTATTAGCACAATCCAAGTTTATTTTTTATTGCTATGGGCTTATTATTATAGCTCCGGAGCATTCTCAGAAACTAGAGAACTTAATAAAATTTCAACTGAAGAGCATCCAGGCTATTTTAGATAAATAGTCTATATTTTTCACATTGACATTCAAGTTGATTTTCAAATCTCCAATTACTGTAACTTTTTGCAACATTCCCTAAATAATTTTAATATCAAACCTCAATACCTATAATAGGAGCGATGGAAAAATCCGGCCTTGATCATTAAGTAATCAGCTTACAAGAAATCGCAAAATGAACCCTTCAATCTCAGTATAAATAGTGTCCTATGATGCCAGGCTATGCACAGCACAAAATCAAAACTAATTAGGTCTTTGCTTAAGAAAAATGACTCTCCTCCACCACGATGGGAATCAAGAGTGATGAGTAGTATAAACAAAAAGATAGTGGAACTTCCCCAATATTATTTCACACCGCAACCAGGCTCGTTTTGCAGTTGCTTGACTTCTGCCCAAATCCAATGGTTCCTTTCCCTGAGCATCCCTCTCACCACCACCTCCAGCTGGTGAAGGCCCCTGTCTCCCTGGGACCCTGTGCTCTCCTGCAGTGCCACCCCCCCCCCCAGCAATCCCCCTTCCTCTGCTTTTCCTTCTGCCTCTATTCTTGCTCTCTTCAGCACACACTCATGCAATTCTACTCTCATGGTTTCTAAAATTCATTTTGTCATTTGATCCCCAAATTTCTATTTTGCACCCTTGATTTCTCAGTAGGTTTCAGGGCATAATCTTATAGGAAGAATACAGCCTGTCTGATCTCTTGGTTTCCTAAAACTGAATTACCCCCCACCTTCTCATAAAACGTCTACTTAGCCATTCCCTAGGTCACTCATCTATTTAATAAATATCAAGTGCCAAGCACATGCTGGTCTCCATGCCAGACAGCAGGGGTATCGCAAAGAACGGAAACCTTTACAATCTCAGCCCCTAAATTACCCATTTCTATTTGCTGAAAAAAATAAAAATATCAGCTATAGAAAATCAAAGGATGAATAAAATGATGTGGTTCACATTTGCAACAAATGTATACTTAATGGGAAGGCAGACAGAACCATAGCCAATGTGAGAAGTGCAGAATATATTTTGGGCTCCACGATTACAAATAATGGCCACTAGAGTATCAGTGTGGGTAGAACATAAGTCTGGGGTGTTCAGTAGCAGAGATAAATGGGCATGTTTCATACCAACTCTATGGCCCACTTTCCTTCCAAATAAGCTATCAAGTCAGCCTTCAAAGTGAGGGATGCAGCCTCTAACAAGGTAACAGAAAATCCATGTGGTCCACGTGAAGATCAAATCTGTAACTTGACCCTGTGGGCCCAGCAGGCAGAGTTCTAAGAATACAAAAGAGAAGAGATCACGATAAGCCCGCCCGGACTGTAAATGAATGTTGTTTCATTCTGCTCATCAAATATATAAAAATGTTCAGACTCCTGAGCTGTAAGAGAGACCACAGAAGCATGATCGGTTATAGCAACTCATCTATAAGCTGAGAACCAGTTCAGCCTGTTTGGTTTGGGAAGTGATTTATTTATTCTAACTTGTACCCGGACCATAAAGCAGTTACCACAGCCCAAGGAAGAGCACACTAGTCCCTGCACTTTCCCAGCTCAAAAACCCATCCTTCCCCTCACAGTCAACCTGCCTCAAGCTGAAGGCTGGACCCATCCCTTCCAATTCTGTTCCTCCTCTGTGTTCGGCATCTCAGGACACTGAATCTCCCACTCCCCTGCTGTTCAAGTCAGAAATGCAGGAAACATCCTTGACCCACCCTCTACCTCCATCGCCCTCCTACCCTCCTACCCCATCCACCACACTTCATTAATCCGTCCAGTTTCTGTCAATCTACATCTTTCTAGCTCTTGAGCCCTACTCCAATCTAAGCCCTGATCATACCTTGCCTGGCTTATAACAAACTCCCTAACTGGATTCTCTGCTTATCCTCCTACAACCCACCATTTTTCCACCACCGCCCAGAATAATCCCTGTAAACCTGAAGTTGGATTTCCCTGCAGTAAGCCTGCGACAGCTTATCATTACAGTTAGAATCAAGTCCAAACTCTTCACCATAACCACACATTTGTGACAACCACTACCCTGCCCACCTCTCTGGTCTCTGCCCCAGTCATGGTGCTCCCTCCACAAGGTGCTCCCAACACAGGAGCTCTCGGATTGCAGCAGAAATGGCCAAGGGCAGAATCACTTTGTCTGTTTTGATTACCACTAATTACCCAGAGCCTAGTACAATGACTGGCATATAGTCAGTGCTTACAAGTTCTTTGCCCAAGGACTCAAGATGAGTATTTTTTAAATATATCCACATTATACAATAAATAAGACTGACTGAAAAGACTACGATCTGTTCATCTTCTAAGGATTTTTCCTGCAATTGTAGCGACCTTCCCCATAGCACTATGCATACTATTCCATTTACATTTTAGTTCCAGAAGAATGTTTATAACATTTATCTCAACTTTACAGAAATAAACCTCTGATCCATGTAAAGTGTATTTAATAGGTTGTTTTGCCAGAACTATTTGATTAAAAAATGGCATTTTAATTATGTAGTAATACACACTAGAAAGCACTATATCAAAGTTGTGACAGAGAGAAATGGAAGACTTCTCGAAATATTGAAAGGAAAAATAGCCATATCTACTTTTAATAAGAAATTAAAAATTAAACAGGTATGTAATAAGAAAAACTAAGTGGCTAAAACAAACAAAAGAAACTGAAATCGTAACTTGGGAAACCAATGTGTCTCAAGGGGGAGAGAAAGGAGTTTTATAAAAAGGGGAAAAAATCTAATTACAGTGATTTTCAATTCTACTTACAAAGCACAAAATACTTCATCATTAGAATTTACTAGGGTGGTAAATGTCTCAATTTTCAGTTAAAATGTCTTATATCCCCAAAGGGGCATCTGATAGTAACAGTGTTCATCTGTTCACCAGTTGATGGACATTTGGGTTGTCTCTGCTTCTTGACTCAAATGGATAATGCTGCTAGGAATATTCATGTATATTTTTTTTGGTAGGCACACGTTTTCAGTTCTCTTAGATACCTAGAAGTGGAATTGCTGGGTCATATGGTAACTCTGTGTTTAACTCTTTGAGGAAATGCCAAACCATTTTTCCAAATTTCGACATCATTTTGTATTCCCTCCAGTGGTGTATGAGGATTCCAATGTCTCCACATCCTTAACACTACTTGTTTTTATCCATCTTTTTCATTTAAGCAAGCTGAGTAGGTGTGAAGTGGTACTGACTTAGACTTTCCTAATGACTGATGACATTGAGCAAACGCCTAAATTTTCATTGCTTAAAATGTAATATAAACACACATATTGATAGGTATGCAAAACCATACAGACAAGCTCATGATCCCTCTCTCTCACTCTCTCTCTCTCTCTGAGAAACAGTTTAACAAGCTCAGGTCAAAAGAAAGCTTCAGAAAGAAAGACGGAACCACAAAGAAATTGTTGTGGTTAACCTGCCAGGATTTCAGCACTGCTGTGCCCCTGGATGGGACGTGTTAAGAGTGAATGTGAGTGTACCTCACTAGCCAGGGCATAGGCTCGGGCCGACTCACTTGACAATAAATACTGTAAAATCATTTTGAA